ATATGATAGATGTCTATGACAACCCCCCACCCTGCTCTTTGTTTTCGCTCTCGCCCCATTTCGCGCGCGTTCAAAACTTCGAAAATCGGCTTTTCGATGCAAAAAAACTCCACGGAAACGCTGGCTACGCTAGCTAACGATTTGTAATTGATCATAACTGTCATTTGGGTCTTCAACAATTCACGGTTTTTTTAAAGTATTAATTGCAAGCAAGTTTTATTTGAATGTAAACGTAAGGAACCCAAACGTTCTCATCTTAGAGATAATTTAGCAAAATATAGTACTCGACAAGTAAATCATTCGGAATATTGTTTCCATACGTTTCAAGTTGCCTAAACCACTGTAGGACTGCGTGGCCAACCTAACAACCTTGTCACAAAATTTAATATTTGTTCTCTTAGCAAAGCCAATCTACAAACCCTTTAGAAATAAGCAGTTCGACGACAGCCTCTCTGGAGCTCTCAATAGCTCTCATCAAAGGTGTTCCTCCATTAATGGTCTGCGCGTCCATTTCAGCTCCGTTTTCCAGCAGAAACTTCACCAGGTCCACTTGTCCTGAGTGGCAGGCATGGTGTAAAGGAGTCCATTTGAAATTATCTCGAGCATTGATGTCTGCCCTGAAAAATAAAACATGCAAAGGGTTTGAAAAAGTGCAATGTAGATTGGTAAAATAATAACAAAATAATGCGTTTTTTGAAAATAGTTCTACCAAGGTTCGTTTTCGCTATCGTCGGAGTCGGAGTCTGAGTCAAAGACGTTATCAGAGGTGTGGAGTGACACCATCCGACGAAATCGAAAGCAGAGCACAAATGCCGCTTGTGATGGTCTGTCAGTCTTACGATCTGTGAAAATTAACTTTCATCAGAGTAGTATATGAAATCTGTAAATTTATTGAATACTGGGTTTTCTCTGGGAAGAGACTTCACTTGTTCGGTTGGTCAGTTTTGCGCAATTGATATACACTTAAAAGCAAGTTCCAGAGTACACTGTCTCAGTGAACTCACCCAATCTGTAGTAAGTATGCTGCTACTTTGATGTTTCCATGAGCACAAGCTGCCATCAGCGGAGTCTTATAGTATTTATCGCGTTGGTCCACGGAGACTCCTCGGGCAAAAGCTGATTTTAACGTCTCTAGATCTCCTACTTTAGCAGCGTCACTGATGTTCATGTAAGAAACATCTAAAATATGTAGGAAAACAGGAAAGGAATTTACCCTAGTTAAAGAAACGCGCAAACGCTGCATTTCGGATAAAAGCGCATTAGCCGTATTTCGGATAAGGACGAAATACCGTAGGCCCCATCCCCTGCATCTTCTCTGTATTGGTTAGCATGGGACGTTAAAGAACCCACACACTTATCGCAAAAAGTTGGGAACATAGCCCCCGGTGTTGCGGTCTGGTCTTGATTCTGAAATTGGGGGCATCTGCTGGCCAAAATTTCCTTCAGAAGTTGTAAACTGCTCAGTGCGGTCTGGCCAAAGTCCCCCGCAAAGTGTTGTAAAGTGCCATAAGGTATAGGATATGGCAGTTCAGAAATCCTTAATCATTGTTATTACTATCATTATTATTATTATTATTACTATCGTTATAATAATGCCCAACTCAAAGCAAAGTGAATTCAGTTCATTTTGAAACTACGAGTGAGTGATTACGCAACATTTAGTTTTACTTCTGAATGGCTGAGGTGGTTGTGCGATTTTCCCATGAAAACAGAAACACTGCAAACATGATTACTACTCTAATCTAAAGCGTAACCGAAAAATATTGCATTTTTATGTTACTGATCAAGACACCTCTTAAATGAGGATTTTGAAAGAGCTTCTGACACAGAGATGCTTTCGTTGGCCAGTGAGTCAAATCGACTGCACGTTATTGTCTCTCGCTGTAATTTCGGACAAAATGTGGGCTTCACCACATAAGGAAAGTTGTGATTTTTTCTGTTAAAACGCGTAGAAAAATGCGAGAACAATTATCTTCAATAATTAAAGAATCTCAAGGCGTTCACAAAGTTCGTTCGTTCGGTTCCCCTCGTCAATCAGAGGAGGGGGGGAGGGGGGGGGAACAGAGTTCTCGCAGATTTACTGTTTGACAAAGGAACTAAGAGTAAAGGAGTAAAGGAACAAAGAGAACATACATGAACAAAAGTTTTTGTCTGTTGATTGTTTTCCAAGGCACCCGGTCATTAAAAAGAAAAAAAAAAGAAAAAAAGACTTGCTCATTGCGATTGTCTCCTAAAGATAAAAAAACAAGACAGTCCTCTGCTTTTAGATGATCATACTTGTCAGTACTAACCTGGGAAGTTAAGGTACCAGGCAGAATCATCTTGAATGGGATGCGATGGTGGATTATCACGATCAAATCTTGTGTTGTCTGTGAAGTGCTGTAAAATTAAGAAGTAGAAGAGTATAAGAAGACGTAAAATGAATGAAAAGACACAATGGTTATCTATACCATCCTTGTCATACATACTAAAATCACAGATCAAAAAATTTCTTTTCTATAAAAGTGAGACGTCACAAGTTCAGACATATTTCTTTTGTCTGACAAATTGTTCGCTGAAATTTCTGTTTGTGATTAAGAAAGATAAAGACGCCTGTGAATAGACGACGCATCAGAAACACTAAAGATCCAATAAACGCCGTGTCGTGGAATCGGGTAAATCCGGTATACGACGACTAAAAAGGTACAATTTTGTGTAATACTTACCACATATCTCTCTACATAGTCTGAGGGAGGGCCACCATGTTTCGTCCGGGGGCCGTCAGGTGCTGTACAAATTGGAATGGGTATTTTTGTTTTGCCCTGAAAACAGACACAGGTTAATCAGTACTGGATTGGTTTATGGACTGTAAAAGCCTCTACCACCTGTATAGTACTCCCGTAGGCTCGTGATATCAATTTGATTAAAATAAATTTCAGATTCGCGAGGAAACCTCTCAAACACATTTTCGGCGATAATTAGGTTTATACCATGGAGAGAAAATTTCTATATGCTGATTGGCTGATACAGAGAGCATTTTTCCAAAACTTTTGGTAATTGCCTTAGGCAAAATTACTTGAAATGTAAAACATGCTAAAACACTTAAATTAACGTAGTTTTATTCATGACAAAATTCTTTTTAGCAGGGCTGGTTTCATTGCTTTGGTATTGTGCACTACTGACTCGTGAGTTTTGCAGTTCATTGACGCTAACTAAACACTGAAATAGCTTCCAACGATATTGTGTAACAGCGTCACGGTGCGTTAATATAAGACAGTTTTGCCCTTCATGTCATAAACAAGTAATCGCATGTTTCCTCGTAAAACTGAGGATCAATATCGCTTGCGATTGCAGAAGTTGCACAAATTGCCCTCGTCTCTGTACGACTCGGGCAATTTCTGGAACTTCTGAAAACACGCGTGATAGCAATCCTTCACTCGGCCGCACGCGATTACCTAATATACAAATTTTACACATTTTATTGAAAGGGAGATGACCTGGGTACCCTCATGAAGCATATGATAGATGTCTATGACAAACATCGCATTGAATTGTTATGGATATAATTGATTAGAATTATCCTGAATTGCGATAATTTTAACATTCTGCAAAAATTACCTTCTTCTTCTTTCCTTTCTTTCCACCTTTTTTTTTCTTTTTCTGTGTAAAGTGAACAAAAGTCACGATAAATCCTGACATGTCCTACTAAACGAAAATATCTACTTATCTTAAGTAATTTTCAGTGAAGTTGGATGCACGAATTTGTTGTGGAATATATGTTGTTGTGGAGTCCATGCCCACTTTGAAAAACAAATTTCAGAAAAAAATGATTTAAAATCTATGATGACTTTACCTTTCCAAGGACAACCATAAATTGCTGCAACAGTAGAAAAAGAGGTCAATCAATTTAGAAGTTTGTTAACTTTACTTCAGGCGTATGTTCTAAACAAGGTCCTTTGCTAGCCAAATACTGTTATCTTCACCCCAATGCAGCCTTCAAACATTAAAAGCTGACTGGAAATAGTTCTACAGGAAGGGGAAGGGGATAAGGGAAGAGTAGTTGGATACCAGAGGGATATGATAACCAATTTTTCCCGGTAGATGGCAACCTCCCTTATATTACAAACTTTAATACTATATATTACATACTTAATATACCTATAAACTGTTAAAACATGTCACTAGCTATAATGTCCCTATCACAAATAAAAAACAATGGAAAAAAACTTTTATTGTAATATGAAACCCAACTAAATCAACCCCAAGATACCAGGATATTCAAAACCCCTTACCAGACTAGTTGATTTAGGAGGGCAAACACCAGCCTGGTCTGTGGCAGGCTCTTACTCAGTGGATATGAGCAAAGGCGCAGGCCAGCAAAAATGGGAGGGGTCAGGTTGTCAACCAAATAAACATAATTGCAAAATTCAATGGGAAAGGAACAGTAACTCTGTAAAACAGGCACATGACATAATAGTGTAATTGTTCCATACCTTACTGATAAATTTTTTACAAGTTATAAACAGCGGATAATCTACAGCATCCTCTTTGTTTGGGTCATGTATCTGTGCTAATTTATTCAAATCTTCTACATCTACTGGGCAATCTGTGGACCAAAGTGAGAATCCAAACAATTCTTATTAGCACATATAAATTAAAAATAGTTCTAAAATCATCATGGAAATCAGGGTTATTTTTAAGCCACATACTACTTGTTCATGTGGCAATTAAGATACTGGTTTTGTTCTCTTTCCTTTGTGGTCCATAGACTTCAAATTCATCTCAGTGTACAATGTTCAACCAATGTGGCAGGATTTGTGTTTAATAATTCTAACAATTTCAAAGATTAATGTTAAATTGTAGATGTCAAGGCACATTTCTTAAACTCACTTATTGTCTGCAGACACATTACAAAGTTATCCTTAGTCATTTTTCCTTTTCTACTTCCATCCTCTTCCTCTGGATCAAACTGATAACAGATGTTCAACACTTTTTGTTCGTGTTCTTGGATCCAGTCATAAAGCTGTTGAAGACAAGTGCAGGAAATTAATCTGAGTGCTGAATTTAAGCCAATACATAATTTGAATGCTACTGTTGCAATACAAAACTTACAATAGGAATGCTATTGTTTTCTCCCATACACCTAATGACACTTTCACAAAATTTCAACATGGTGACAAATAAAGTTTATATGAAAACATAGCCAAGATTTCCTGTCTATATGAAAGAATGCATGTATGACCAAGCTGGTTTTAGCACCTGTTTGCTTACATTAAGCTCATTAATGAGCAAAACAAGATTTGAATGAGAACATTATTCTTTTGGAATATCAGTTTCAAGAAAAGCATAACGCTTGATCTGTTTAATCAATCCTTTTGAGCAACAAGAAAACTACAATCACTTTTGCTTCAAACATCACTTTGATGGGGTCTGACAAACAATATAGATATCTAAAATGTGTAAGCAAAACAGAGAAGTTTGACATCATTTCATGCTCATTTGTCCCATTTTCAGAGGTAGACAAGCAAAAGTATTTAGTGACTGTAAACATACTCTAATGGCATATGGTTCAGCAGTTCTACTTCCTCCCTTAGAGAGCTTCGCAGACTGTTTTTCAGCTTTACGACATTCTTTCAGGGCATCTTTGTGCTCATTGTCCTTTGCCAGTAATCTTGGTGTCTTCCCTTCCTTGTTTTTCAACATTGATGGACAACCTGTATGGATGAAAAATCAGAGTATTTCCACATTTCTATATTGCATGCCTTTTTGATGTAAGTAGTGTAATATTTAAAACAAATGTAAGAATCTTGAATTACTGTACAGTCATGTAGCTTGTTTTTAAGTCTCCTACTAGAAAATTGTAACAAATGTTTGTAGTGATTTCAAATGAACATTAGTCACCAATCATTCATTATTTTTCATTGGAATTAAGATAAGAAAAATCACAGTTTTTAACATGTAACTGACTGTAAACCTAAAATTTGAATGAAGCAAGCCTAACATTTTTCCAAAGGCCTCAAACTAATTTTACCACTAACAGCTGAACCACTCAACCTGAGAGGTCCCTAATTTTTCTCTGACAAACTTAGTGTGACAGAGTCACTTAGGCTTATTTTCTACTTAAAACATGTTGTTCTGTTTATTTTATTTTCTGGAATTTTAGCGATTTGTCAGTAATGTTGGTAATGTGTTAACTGTATTAGTAATGTGTTAATTGTATTATTCCTTTACCTGCCCTTGTCCTCTTGTGCAAGAGTAAACACCGATTTCCCTTATGTAATTCTTGTTTAACTGCCGATTTCCCTTAATATGTAATTCCTGTTTAATTGACCGCTCCTGGCCCATATTTGGTTTTAAGTTATTTTTACCTTTTCCTGTATTTTACTATAAGTTACAACCGTTTGCTCAGTAAGTTCAGTTGATTTGTTGCCTTCCTGAGAGTGCCCTTAAAGCGGATTCCAAGCTGTACTACCTTTTGTGTCACTCGTTCCCGTTTTTTTGGTACCGTTGCATTTATTTGCTGTGTAATAAACTTGTAAATCTTCCCTTGGATCTTTTGTTCTTACGTCGACCATTTTGGTCGTCTTACATTAGCAATTTTCCAAAAAGTAGGAATAAAGTATTCAACATCAAATATTCTCAACGGGACTTTGGCTGCATGTTGCTATTGTGAGTGTCATGTCAACATGATCATCACTTGTACCATAACCACATCCTGCTCTTGCTCACCTCTTTGAGATAAGAACTTGCATATTGGTCCAAATCCTTGTTGACCAGCATAATGGAGAGGGGTATTGCCATCTAAAGCTACTTTGCCCAGATCTGCACCATAGGCTGCCAGCACCCTTATGACTTCAAAATGACCATTTAAGGCAGCCCTTCATAAAAAATTATGAATTCAAAATTAATAATAAGAGGGGGTTAAATTAAACTGTGTTCCTGAATCAGTGGGGGTACTACTGTATAACAAGATCACTTGTATTTAATATCAACTTATTTGAATTTGGTACATTAGATATATGTTGTGTGCTGTAAAGAGTTTCAAGCTGACGTTTTGGGGTGTTGGCCCTTTTTTAGAAGGATAATAAGAATCTTTGGCATGTAGGAAGCCTATCTCCATTTTTGGAATAACATGTGAGGTCCATATCTTTTTTAGTTAATAAATGAATTAATATGTAGTCTTCTTTTCTAGGGTTTTTCTTCATACATCATGTACTGTACTTCTGAAGACATATTAGTTCTGCATGAACAGCCTCAAAAAAGAGATCTCACTGTATAATACTACCTTTTTCATTTGAAAGACCTGTAAATTATTACACACCATAAAGTATGAATTTACAAGGAATATATATCTAACAAATGTTTCAATCAGTAGAACCCCAAAGAGGCAGGACATTAGATTTAATTAACTGTTACAGAAGTGAATTTGAGACTGTCAGAATTGGGTTTCGCTATCAGTTGAAATTTTCATGTGTTGTTCAAATTGTTTCCATTTTACTCAGTGCATAACCACTGTACACTGTGGCCACCAACAGCTTTAAAGCCTAACCTGTGTGCTGAGTGATTGTTTTCACTGTCCAAAGCATCACAGTCTGCTCCAGCCTCCAAGATTTCTCTGACACAAGCAACACTTCCAGTGGCACTTGCTGCATGCAAAGCTGTCTGACCAGTATTCTAATACAAAAGACAATGGAGATGGTAAAGGCATGTTTTCCAAGACAGCTACATGTTTATAGTCACTGTAGCTCTTTTCCAGTTAAACAACTTATACAAGTCATCTCACTCTGTTCCATAGATGGTATTAGGATTTCATAGAATACGATCATTATCATGATGTACCTATATTCATAACCAAATTAATTTTAGTACAAAACAATAAACTACAGTTAATAAATTTTGGATGCGCAAGATAATTATATGAAAGTGTTCCCTAACTGAGGCAAACACTTTTAAAATAATGTTATAATGCAAGAACTGTACAAAACTTATCAGTTGCCTATGAATTCGTTTGTGAGCATAATTATTACCTCTGAGCTGTCATTCTTGATAGTATACACTAGTTCAATAAAAATAAAAAATAGCAGCACGTGAAAAGAACTTACTGCATGAGCTCTATTGGGGTCTGCACCAGCAATAAGAAGTGCTGCTACCATGTTGTCCAGACCAGTCTCTGCAGCCACATACAATAAAGGTTGACCATCCTTGCTCTAGTAAGCAAAAACATGAAAAATAAGTCTTCGATAAGAAATGCAAACCCATCATTACCCTTTACATCCCAGCATCAGTATGCGTAAATTCTCCACAAGGTTCTTTACACATTTCCTAGCAGGGTGATGATGGGAAGAATGTATTCAACAATCAATTGCTTCTTTAGTTGATTGAAATTGAAATTACATTCTAGTCACCCTTAGGAGCCCAAGGGTGTTATTAAACCTTTGTGTCTGCAATGTGACAGTATAAAAATGACACAGGTATGATAGTTTGTCTCTTCGCATCTTTTAGATGCACAGAGCATCAAAGCTGAAAAGTAATCCTTTACACCTAATTATTACACGACTCCGGCAGTCAGAGGGCCAATAACTAAAATCAACCAATCAAAATGCTCTATTGTCGGTCAATATTCTCTCAGTATTGGACCGGGCACTGTCACAAATGATACCGCACTTGCGTCCCTTTGAACTTCAGTCGTATAATAAATCTCTTATTAACCAAGCTTGCTCCGGACCCTACTGGAAGAAAATCCGCCGTCCGTCTTTTTTGTACCGACCTCGCTGCGCTCCGTCTGTACTGTCAAGACCTCAGGCCAATATTCTCCCAGTACGGCCCTCGCGCTTGGTTACTAAGATATATGTATAACGCTTCATGTAGCATGATCAGCATAACCACCAACTCTCAATTTGCCTAAAGAAGGAAATTATACTCACAATATTGCAATCCACATATTTAGAAGTCACCATATATCAAGAGACATAAATTAAAATTACTTCTCACTCTCATAGCTCAATAGTAATTGTTACGCGATTTACGTATTCCACCAAAGTGCAAGTTTCAAAGTCTTTGTTTAAACGAGATCATAGGACTCACTCAGTTCAGTCTTATTTTACCGCAATGTATATAAGTTCTGCATGTACTCAACGCAGAATTCAAAGGTGCACCACTTAATTTTATAAGAGTGGTATTACTTACCACAGAATTAACACTTGCACCATGTTTCAGTGCAATCTGAAGACACTCTAGATGACGTTTGGTTGGCTGGATACAATAAAACAAGATGCCTTTTCCTTCACTATCCCTCACTAAAAGAATAAAAAAGAGTTTGAAAGTGTACCGACATGCAGGTACTACGTACTCAGGAGGAAAAAATTAACAAAATAGAAATAAATTTCATTAATATAAATTTCCTTGTGTCTCAGTTCATGATCACTAATAGATCACAAATGAAATCAAAATGTTACAAAAAGATATAAACGTAGCACACAAGGTGCTTCACTGATCTCAAGAGAAAACCAAAAATAAGAGCATCACATTTCTATGATTAATTCTAAAAAAATGGGATGCTAAATACAGATTTGAGAGTGGTCCTGACCCTCTTGGCATAGTATTTTTTTTGGTTTCCTTGAAGTTATTTGTAAATTAACCCATTTCTTTTCTAAGTGCTAGGGAGGAGGGATGGCTTGAACACAATACTTTAAACCTGCACACTGGGATTGAAGCTATAAGTAAATTGGAAAGAGTGCAGTATAACTCTGAGTTATCACATTAAACCTTAACTCCCATCTAGTGGATCCTGTTATGTAAATAAAAAAATTAAGATTTTTTCTTACATGTCAAATCTGTATCTGCCTCTGCTAAGAGTGTCAAGGCCTGTGTGTGGCCAAACTCTGCTGCCCTCATGGCAGGAGTACGTCCTTTCAAGTCTACCATGTTGGGGCTTGCACCAAGATTAAGAAGGAAAGAAATCATCTTCTCATTGTTCTTACATGCTGCCAGGTGCAGCCCTGTCTCTCCATTTTCAGGTTCTACAATTTGAACAAACAAAGAGGGTTTTTTCAATAAATACAATATCCAAACCAATAGTGAATTCCTTGCTTCTTGACCAGTCCAGTTTCATGGAAGTATCAGATTGGCTCAGACAAAGGGCTGGAATGCTAGAAATGTGACCAGCCTAAGAACCTCCCTAAGGTGGCAAATTTAGATTTATCAACTCAGTTGATAAAACTCAAATTACTTTTAGTGGATTAGTGAGCTAGCTTGATTGATCACCTAATCATTTGATAACTGGTCACTCAATGTGGTCTTTAAAGACTGTTCCAAGTAAGATTATTCCATAACTGACTTTTCAATTCCTTTAAACTGCACAGATATAATGATAGAAACAGGTTTAATAGAGAAATGAGAAGATAAAGAGCACAGTGAAATGTAACAAGAGGGTATACAGCCACTATTTTGGGTGTAAAATCTGGAGAATTCTTAGATATTAACCCCCCTTAAACACCTGACTAGATCATGCTGTGAGAGTATAAGAGTAAAATCAAGACAGAGAGTTTGCTTGATGTCAAATTTACTGAATTAAAAGACAAAAACTTAAAATAAGTGATAATTATATTCACACATGTAGTCTACACTGATGAAATTAAAAAGTCATAGAGTATTGTAAAGCTTTTGCTGGTTCTTTTTTTTCTTTTTTCAGTTTCCTTTCCTTCTGACAAGTGAAAAAAATCTGACTCTGAACAATATGGCTCTGTGGCAATTAGTGATGAGAAACCTACATGTACCATTATGGCACGTAAGAGTCAGTGAACCATAACGTGATGCATCAAATAAATGAGCTCTACTAAACACTAAACAACAGCCTTAAGAATAGGTTACAAGAATAGGTTACATGAAAGGGGCGTATTTACTAGCTGTTAATGAATTTTGTTGTTTCACAGACGTGATAAGTTCATGCAATCAACCCCAAGTACATTGCATTTACACAGTAAATTTAACGTCGTAAATTTATATGCATCTTTCAAAGTATTAAATAACTTAGCATTTACAGCGGTGTACAACAATCACATAAGGTAAAATAGCCGAGACTCTTAAAAAAGGAATAATGGAAAGTCCTAAACATAAGTTGGAGAAATCTGAAGATCTTTGTCGGAAATGTATAACTAAAAGTTATAACTTGGAAAACATAAGTAATCCGCTTAAGATAACTTCTTTATTTAAAGCCAACACATTATGTTTAGCTGCTTTAAAGCAAACTTGTGTAGAGTTCAAATAAATGAGGTATTCTTAGGTTAAGAAGTAAATGGTTCGAGAAAGTTCAGTGTGTATGTGGTAGATGTCGTTGTATGTGAAAAGTTGTGTTTGTCATCTTTCATTGAAATTGCTACAAAGAAGACGTCAAGATTTGATGGATAAGCTTTAGAAGCATATGAAATTAAAGTCAAACCTAAACCTACAAAAGCAATTTCGGTAAAAAAGAGTTTCTGGTGTTGTTTATCAAATTTCGCGCCTTTCAATTGTTGACGTCGCATAATTTTGCTATGGCGACTGATCGGTACGAGCGAGTTTCCAAAACACCTACCTCGTACGAAAGACAACGAAACCTCTCTGCACTTACCAGAGTAGTTGATCAAATAAGGAACCCCATGAGTTGTTAATTTTTCAATCTGGTCTACATCCTCGATTCGAACAGACTGAAGTAGCTTTAAAACTTGCAATTGTTCTAAACGGTCCTGAGCGACTGGCATTGTTCTAACTTGCCACGATGCTGGAATTTTAGTACCACTCTCCTCCTTTTCAAGGCTCAAATATCAAGCGATTTCCTATAATTTGTGAATACTTTGCATGCTGTGGAAAACTAAAGACGAAACAAATAAATTCTTAAAGTTAAAAGGTCATCTTCCTGCTGAATATTGCCAAACATAACTTGTCTCGCATGTCGTTGTTAGGGAATCTCGAGGTTGGAGACGAGTTGATTCTGATTGGCCAATGATGAGGTCCCCTAGTGAAGGGAACGTGGAAGTGAATCCTAAGTACGTCCTTATTTTAAAATGGCGGCAGAACCGTCTCATATTTGTTTGGAGACTTCCATGGTAAGCCCTTTACTTAAACAGGAGACCAAAAAGTTATTTTGCGCATTTACTCTCACTTTTAGCCTATTTTGAGTGTCGCTCCTTAGTTATTGCTTGCCACACAGTCCACAAGAACGGAAATGTGCCGACATCGGCAATTCCGAGTGAAAGAACGTGGTCTTTTATCTCCGAACCAAAGGCAGACCAAGAAGAGTTCTCTTTATTGGATGGAAAGCTATGGCCTCACAGTATTTTTGCATAAACTCTGTGGGTGCGTCATTTATTTTTTACATTTTCTGTAATTTCTCGTTTCAGGGTCAGATTGTTTGTGAACTTTATTGGAAGCATACTCCAAAAACATGTAAAAACTTTGCCGAACTGGTGAGCTACTTAAAATTGATATTAAGTGCGGGTTGATTAACGCAAATTTACTACTATTGGAAAGATTTCCGTATAACCCCATACCAATAAAAAAACAAAGCCGTAGTCCCAAAGGAAATCTGTTGTTTTGCCTCTGCTTTCCTTTATCCAAGAATTCAATGCATAATGAAATCTTGCCCTACTATTTTGATATTTTTGGGAAGTCATAACTGTGCTTGCCAGCTCCCAGTCAGTACGCCAAAGTCTTATGATTGTGGCCCTGGATTAAAAACACAAGTCTCAAGTATACAATGCAGCTCAAAGAAATGCGGAACAAATTTTATACTGTAGTATATTTTAATTTAAAAGTAAAATGGGTATAGTGTGTGTAGTGGATTATTTGCATATATACTATTGACATATGAGCATACAGAGTTATTCCAACATAGTTGTCTGGTTGTCTGGAACCTGAGTCATGTCACCCAAAATTTTAGTTATGTTGCCTGAAATAAAAGTCAAGTTACCCAAAGAACAAATACCTAAAAGATCAGACTTATAGACTGGAAATAGCCAATAAAGTTGAGAAATCTCTAGCACAAGAGGGCTGTTTGTTTCTGACAACACCTTGAAGATGGTGATCAGTATAGAAATATGTTTAAGTGATGACTCTAAAAGCTTTGTTCATTTCTAACAACAAAATGAAGCATTGTTCATTTGGAATGTACTCATTTTGTACTCACAGACATTTCATAAACTTCATAAAGTTTATGACTCAAGCGCTGTTGGTTTCTAATAACACCAACAACCCTTTGATGACTGTACAGAGAAATCAATCATGTTGTCAGAATTGACAGGGCTCAACACTAACTTTTAGACTTATAAGCCAAGTGGCTAGTGAAATCTTAGGTTGTACGACAATTTCAGTTTGTTTACTAGCCAAACTGGCTAGTGGAAATCGAAAACCACTAGCCAAAACCGAATTTCTACTAGTCTATGGCTAGTGGGCTACTGTTAGTGTCGAGCCTTGATTGAAATACGTTTGAGTAATGACTCTAAAACTGTTGTTCATTTCCAACAACAAAGCAAAGTGTTGTTGGTTTCTACAATAACAAAATGCAGCATTGCACCGTCTGTTTGTCATTCACTTGTTTTGTACCTACAGGCATTTTGTACACTCTAGAAACTTTATCCCTAAAGGGGTTTTTGGTTTCTAACATTTTACCATCAAGACTTTGACTTTGCAGAAATTGATTATATTGTCAGAACCAAAAGACATTTGAGTGAAGACTCTAAAAAGTGTTGTTTGTTGCATTGTTTGTTTGGTGTGCACTCATTAGGATATATCTCGCTAGTTTAAGACTAAGTATGTTAGGGATGTAGACTGAATTAGATAAACATTGTTCATGTTGGTTACATCTGTTTGAAATCTAGCATGAATTGTTTTTGATAATAGTTCTTGGGGACTTTGTTGAGCATTTGGGTATCATATTTAAAGAGGAATTTAAAGGTTTATAGTTGAAGTTTGGTATTGTAATTTAATCAGGCAATGTAACTCAGGATTTTGAGGGACATGTTATATATTTCTTGTGAACGTTTTAAACGGGTTGCATTAATAGTTACATTTTACTACTGAAGGATTGCTAACGTACAGTGTAAGTAAATACATGAAAAGGCTGTCTCAATCAATCTGTACCTTCAGTGGTTTCTAAAAATATGCCATTTTGGTGTTTCCACAAGTGTTAAAAAAATCAGGTGACTTGTCTCTATTTCAGTGGATGCGACTCAGGTTCCAGGTGACGCAATTTGGGGCGAGATGACTTTTGCATGACTTGACCATAAACCGAGAGAACAGGAGAAAAGTTTGTAAATTACAGGCTAGAGATAAGTGATCAAAAAACTTTTCTCTTGTTCTCCCAACATCCTGTGTGGGTTGTTGCTGCAGTAGATGGATAGATAGTGCAGTCTATTGCTTTTCTAAAATAAAAGTACTTGACCCACTGATTACAGATACACATAAGCATGTGCACACACACAAATACTCACAAATGCAATACTAATGACTATTGGATGAGACTTAGGGGAGATCAAAATTAATTAATTAAATGTAATGATACAGGTCAATAGAGATCTAGAGGTTCTCCGGTTTCTTTTTGAGTAGATGGAGGCTACTTGACTGGGTATAAATTATATTGGTTTAATACCAGTGCAATAAACAGTTGGGGGTTGAACAAGATTATAAGGTTTTATCAACTGAGTTCATAATGTAAATCGCCTACTGTAAAGAGTTTCTAAGCTGAGGTTTTTAGATTTAGCCCTTGGTTCTGACAAAGGGCTAACACTCAAAATGTTGGCTGTAAAAACTCTTTATGGTGGCCAATTTACATGTTATTTACTCAGATAAAAAAAAAAAAACAGTTGATCCAGATAAAACAGTTTGGTCTGTATAATAAACTACTTACTGATCGTGCTTGCTGGAACCATACTGAGGAATATTGGCCCTCTATGATTTTGAAAGGACCTCGCTGCACTAGATCTGTGATGACCTTGTGCCAATATTCCCCAGTAAGGCCCTTGTGCTTGGTTAGTAAGAAGTTATTAGAAGTTATTAGCATAGATTCATAGAAACTTAGAAGAAAACCAATTTGTTTAAATTAGCCTCTTGGCAGCATTTGCTAAAAAAACAAAACCTTTTGTTGCAAAATAATAAGATAAGTCTGATTGTGACTTATCACTAAACCTTTGAAGAAAAAAATCATATCTTTTAAGAGAGAGCATCACTTAATAAGTTTTAATCTGCAAACTTTTTCAGCAGAACTGGCAAAAATTTTTCTTGCAGAATAATCTTGAAGTGCTTCTCTATATTTGTCCTTTCCTTTTTCACCTCACACCTTGTGGGCATATGGCTTTTTCTGGTCCTGCAGATACCATTGCATAGGGCTCTGATACAGGAAATTGGAACAGGTGGATAGCTTCCCATATCTTGGGGTTATTATTAGTATATGGCTTTTTCTGGTCCTGCAGATACCTTTGCATGGGGCTCTGATACAGGAAATTGGAACAGGTGGATAGCTTCCCATATCTTGGGGTTACTATTAGTAACAAGCTTAAGTGGTCAGATCACGTTTCCATAATAACAGCTAAAGCAAACAAGTTGCTGGGTTCAATCCATTGCTACTTTTGGAATTGCCCAAAAAATGTAAAGGAAATTGCATATACATCCCCAGTACGGCCGAAGCTGGAATACGCGATTGCAGCTTGGGATCCGTTTTTAAAGAAAGATGTCAGTTCCCTGGAAAGAGTTCAACATAAAGCAACACGGTTTTGCTCACAGAATTATCATAGATATGCTATTGTTACTGATATGATCGAAGATTTAGGATGGACCACGTTGGAAATGAGAAGAAGGCAGTCTCGGTTACTACTTATGTATAAGCTAACTCGCGGTCTTATTCGGTTGCTCTAACCACTGAGCTACAGGAGACTCTATGGTGAGCAAGGGTCAATTAGTGGGTATTGACTGGAACCGCATCATGCGGCTACACAGCCAAACATCAGCTAGCGCATAGAAGCTCATTAACAGCATCACGCTGTCGCATTAAAGCATCACATGCATTAAAGCATCACATGCAGCCAACCAGCCCCCAAAGTGAGCATGTAAAGATGAAATAAACAATTTTTAATATAAGAGAAAAGTCGAGTTTCCAGATGGGATTTGAACCAAATACCCACTAAGTCAATACCCACTCATTGACCCTTGCTCACCATAGAGTCTCCTTTAGCTCAGTGGTTAGAGCATCTGACTAGATCACAGAGGGTCGTGGTTTCAAATTCCATCTGGAAACTCGATTTTAAATTTCACATCCTATATGCCAGTAAAGACATTTTCAAATTTCCTTTTTTCCAAGAATTATAACAGACTGGAACTGCCTCCCTGAGACCATTGATTTGTCAACTTCCTTAGAAATTTTTAAACATAGGTTATCAACCTTTTTAAATGATAGTTGTACATAGCTTATATAGTTCTCGTAATTAAACTTTTATTTCAACATCAATATAATTGTTTTTTTATTCATTTCCTTATCACCTATATCTAGTTATTTGCTTTATTTTTACAGTTGTTGTGATATGTTGATGACTTTACTGACCTAATAACATGTAAATGTAAATGTAAATGAAAAAAAAAGTAAGGTGCTAAATAAGATATTTATTCTAAATTACTGGAAAAATAAAATCAATTTAAAGAGATAAAACTATACATATTACAAAATGTACAAAAAGTCATTATTTCTTGTGCAATACTTGAATGGGAAAAATTCTGCCGAGACAGTAGCTATGAATGAGGAAACTCCTGGTTATTGGTAACTACACTGTAGTATTAACAGTAGCAGAACTTGTATCTAGATATAAAAAAAATTATTGATGAAAAATTTAAATCAAAGATTATTCATTGGGAGCATCGAAGTAAAAGTCCAATTATTGGATAGTACCTCGGTCCATGCCTGCTGCTTCACCCCTGCTAGAGATAAGATATTGATAGTCTTTTATACTGTAATTCACTGTTAGCCATATGGTGAACAAAATAATTACCTCAGTCTATGATTATACTCCATGCTCTTTCTCTCATGCTTACTTTGCTTAACTATAAAATGAAAAAAGGTTTGTGGATAAACTATGACATTTACATTTCAGGCACAGAGAGGATATTATAATAACTGCAAGTTCCACAGAATTATAAAGGTATAGTACTGTATAATAAGTATGATCATATTTATGCACAGATAGGCCACATTTTGTTGTTATTGCAAAAATGGGATAAATGTTTGGGGTTTGGCTAATACGTGGGGTACAAGCATTTTCATGCATCACTGATGTGCAGGATAGCTCCAAGTGTTACACTTCAAATTGTTGTATTTTGCTTTGTAACATGACAATCTTTGTTGACAGACAATGTACTTTTCTCCTGCTTGCAAATGATAACAAACTTCTTGGTGACCCACCTCAAATGATATACCTCAGAATTTATTTTTTGTGACTGCAGGTTTCTTCCCTCTTTTTCTTTTTTACTGAGTGAAATTGAAGGTATGCAGCAGTCAATTCCACCAATTTTGAAAAGCACATGATTATTCTTGTCTGTTTAAGTGTAAAAAGAAGTGTATACCGATCAATCCAGCTGCTAATAGTGATTCAAATCATTTAGCCACTGACCTTTAATTGTTCCCATGGCTTGTGATTCACATCAGCTCATAAACAATCAAAATGATAAAAAAAATTAGTGTTGGGTTTGCACTTAAACTCAAAGTTCTTTAGTTCAATGATGCTTGGAATAAACTCTAAACAGAAGTTTTAATATTAAAATTTGAAAGTTTAAAGTGAGGAGTGATTGAAAGAATTAAAAGTAAACCTGAGGTGTTTTTGGCCTCACTTGCTGCCATTACTCGTTTGCCTGTTACTGTTACTCATTACTGGGTTACTCTGATTAGTAACATCCCCTCATAGAGGGAAGCCCAAGTGAACGTCATTGCTGCCTTTTGTTCATTTTATTCTAAGTCAGCTCTATAGAATTTACAATTTTTCTTTGGTAATGGGTTTCATTATAACAGCTATGCAATCTCTGATCACAAATCACTAATTATTTTTTTCAACCAAAATTAGAAAAATAGTGGGGGGGGGAGCAGCCTATATGCAGGTGCAGCCTATCTGCAGGTAAATATATATATCTTACGTATGATGCACGATCCTTTGCAGTAGATAGCGCTATTTATGCAATAGCGAAAATCAGACCTAAAAAAAATCAGGCCTGTACGGGATTCGAACCACTGACCTCCGCGATACTAATGCAGCGCTCTACCAATTGAGCTAACAAGCCAACTGGGAGCAGGCCGTTAAGTTGATTCGTAATAAACCCGTGATGATAAATCAGATACAATGAATATATGAAGTTCATATATTTTGAACTGCGGTATTAAATACGTATGATGCACGATCCTTCGCAGTAGATAGCGCTATTTATGCAATAGGTCAGTGGTTCGAATCCCGTACAGGCCTGATTTTTTCCAGATCTGATTTTCGCTATTGCATAAATAGCGCTATCAGTCGGCATCTCTTTCATGACGGTGCTTTTCTCTCGAGGTATCTCTTCCTTCTTGTCATTTTCTTCTACTAATTCGCACACACCAAGGTACAGACCGTAAATAGGCACCCACCAAAAGGTGTTCAATTCTTTGAATTTATCTTCAGCTTTACTCTTCTTCCTCTCTGCTTCTTGATACTTTTCCAAAGCCTCTCGCTTGCTTTGGATCTAATGATTCTTCTTGCTCGTTAGTACAGATTTGTTTGCTTCTAATTCTCTTTTCCTTTTTTCGTGCTGTTTCTGTTTCTGATATAACTCGTTTATTTCTTGGGTAATGGCCTCCACTTGTTGCTTGTGTTAATTTTCAGCTTCTCTGAGCCGCTCACAATATACAAATGCCTGTTGTTGTACTAACAAACCATCTTTTCCAAGTGATTTCAACATAATCTCGGAACTGCGAATGTCACCTGTTTTCACTTCTTTCAGTGCTGATTCTAGGGTGTCAAAACACTTTTTGCTAACTGAAATGAGCGCCATGTTAGTAAACTCTTCGAACGATGTGTGCATGTGGCGTTGAATAAGCTTATATTGCTAGAACGAATTAACGATGATGTTTGCTTCCAGAAGTTAATGACAACTTTTCATCGTCAAAAGAGAGCTATTCATTCTTTTCCAAGAAATTCAATTAACGTACTAGTTAAATAGTCGTTTCCCCAGATTTGGAAGTACAGGAAATCGTTTGACATAGAGTACATGCAACAACATGAACTTTACAGAGAAAACACACGAAACCCGAGAAAGAGCAGTTAAGTGCAATGGCAATCATAAGACACCAACACGAAAAGGATTTGTTCCATTTCGACAATTGTAGGTTTTGGCCTGAATTAGCTCATCTTGAAAATTCCAATGTTGATGTTTGTAACTACTAAGGTATTGATTACTGGAATGAGTCAGCACGACAGAACATTTCATGTCTTTCTAAGAAAATGAAAGTGTCTCCCTAAGGTGCCTACGGTGGGGTGTTTATTTCCCAGAGAGAGAAGCTCACTCGACTTGTCCCTACTTTCATCTGCAAATGAATTTCAAAGTTGAAAAATGAGATTTTTTTCTGACGAGTTAGTGGTTAGCTACGTTTGGATCTCCTAGAAAATGTTTTTAGGGGAGCACCGAAACAGATAAATGTAGAGATTGACCTGGTAAACAATGAAGAGGAGGCTCGGAGGATATTGAAATGGGATATGCAAAGTTACTATTTTTATTATCAAAAGTCCATTGACCAATCCAGAGAAGACACGTTATCTCTGGACATCAATGTCAACAATGCTATAAGTTTCCACGAATAGTGGGAAACTCTCTCGCAATTAACTGACGTGGCAAAAGAGATGGCTACGGCGGCGGAGAAATTACATGATGACTTTGGCACGGCAACGAAGGATGTGATTGGTGCCCTAGAAGATACCCAGGAAGCAAAGGGCACTCAGGAGAAGAAGAAGAGAGCTCTTGAGGAAGAAAGAAGAAAACTTGAAATGCGAATAAAGATAGCGCAAGAGGTGCAGAAGAATGAGCTTGATGCTGAAGAAAAGGCATTTGATACAGGGTGGCTCAAGCAAAAGAAGACAAAGCGATGGACAAACACGGCAACTTTCTCGCAAAATTGGGAGATGCTATCACTGGTGTGGTAGGCGCTACTGCGTCTGGAGTGGCATTGGACTTTCATAAGGCGGCGGAAAAACTGAACAAGATTGGAGACCAATCAGGCTACGAAGACACTTTTAAGATGGCAAACACAGAAAAAATGAAACACCTGAATGAAAAGCAGAAGCAACAAGATTTGCCGTCAAGAGGGGATACTTCAGAGTTTGGAATTCACGGAGAAGATAACTGCAAAGATGATGACGCTCTAGCAGATGCCGCCATCGAAGCCTTACACAGCTCCATTGGTGCTCTCAAATCTCTCTCAACCATTATGATGAATGCAGCTCTTTTCTGGCAAAAGATGCAGATGCACTGCGAGTCTTTAAGTAAAGGAGACGTGAACAAATTTGTGAAAACAGCCATGAAGAAACCAAAAGAGGAACGACACGAACTTTGGACTTCAACTGGATTCAAAACAAAAGCCGTGCGGTACTATTCCAAGTGGGTTGTACTGGATGATGTGTGCGAAGTGTAAATGCTACATATCAAGAAAACCAGAAAGGATCTTTACTCCTTCCTGACAGAAAATCCAACCATTGAGGAGGCAAAGAAGAATGTGCGCAAGTTAGCTGAAACGTTTGCAGATAATTTGAAGAAAGCGCACGAGAAGTTGGCACAGGAGAACAAGAGGCAGCTAGAAAAGAAGAAAGCATACGAGAACTCTAAGTAGAGGTGATTTAATAAGCGTCTTCACTCTTTATTGCTCCTATTACATTAGCTGCTTAGTGAGCATGGCGATGCACAATCGGAAAGAAATATTTCATTGACTTTCTTACAGAAGCCTGCCGTACAACCAAATTCAAAATGACTAAAGCTTGTATATTGTAAAGGTAAATCTACTATCTTGATCACTGAAAGAAGGATAGTTGAATTAGAAAAATGAAAGGGGTAACTTGATCAATGAATAACTCTACCTTGCTTAAGTTGACACGCCTGTAAGCCGGAAAGGAGAAGAACACCGATGGTATTCATAGGGCTTGTGCGACTCCTGCCATTCGCTAGCGCTCTAATATCTTTTTCCCTCACAGTTAAGCTCTTATTAGGATGTCTCTTAATACAGTGCCTTATTTTCTGCGTTTCGCGTTTGCAAGCCAAAACTGCCCCTCTATATGAAAAGATTTATGCCTGCCCATGACAACTAGCGTTTTGTTTATGTGACAGAGTCACTTAGGCTTATTTCCTACTTAAAACATGTTTGTTCTGTTTATTCTATTTTATGGAATTTTAGCGATTTGTTAGTAATGTGTTAATTGTATTATTCCTTTAACTGCCGATTTCCCTTATGTAATTCCTGTTTAATTGCCGATTTCCCTTATGTAATTCCTGTTTAATTCG